TAGAAACCATACGTCTACTTCTGGCTTTGGCGGCAAGTAATGGATGGGAGATCCATCACTTAGATGTAAAAACTGCGTTCCTGAATGGAGATTTAAACGAGGATGTATACGTGACTCAACCAGAAGTCTTTGTGGAGAAAGGGAAAGAGCATCACGTGTACAAAATCAACAAAGCATTATATGGTTTACGACAAGCTCCGAGAGCTTGGAACATCAAGCTTGATCGTGTCCTCAAGGAGATGGAGTTCACAAAGTGCACCAAGGAACCTGCAGTATATCAAATGAGAGAGAAGGGGGAGCTTCTCATCATTGCTATCTACGTCGATGATTTGTTTGTAACGGGGACTTCGCTCAAATTTATCAAACGTTTCAAGGACGATATGTCAAGAAGATTTGAGATGTCAAACCTCGGGAATCTTACATACTATCTTGGTATAGAAGTAACGCAAGGAGCTGATGACATTTGAATCAAGCAAGGAGGATACGTGCAAGGTATACTTGTCAAAACAAAGATGGAGTCATGTAACTATCCTCATGTTCCGATGCATACAAGTTTGAAAATATCGGAGGTAGAGGAGGAGCCTGAGATTGATGCAACATCCTATAGAAGCATCATAGGATGCTTAAGGTATCTTCTTCATACTTGACCAGACTTGGCATTTTTGGTAGGTGTGTTAAGCAGATATATGCAGAGTCCTAGAGAGAGTCTTGGAGAAGCGATGAAGCATCTGTTGCGATATATAAAGGGTACCACTGAGTATGGTGTCTTCTTCAAACGTGATGGAACAACGGAGATTACTGGTTACAGTGACAGCAGTCATAACGCAGACGTTGATGATGGAAGAAACACGACGGGGTTTAGGTTCTACCTTGGAACATTGCCTATCACATGGACATCGTGTAAGCAACCCACCGTAGCACTTTCTTCATGTGAGGCGGAGTTCATGGCCGCTATCAAAGCTGCAAAACAAGCAATATGGTTAAAGGAGTTGATGGCCGAGATCATGAACAAAGAAGACAAGAAAATCGCGCTGAAGATTGACAACAAGTCAGTTATATCTCTCACCAAGAATCCGGTGTTTCATGAGATAAGCAAACACATACTCTCGAACTACCAATTCATTCGAGAATGTGTGGAGTTCAACTTGATCGAAGTAACACATGTACCTGTAGTGGAGCAGAAGGCAGACATACTCACAAAACCATTGGCAAGAATCAAGTTCAACGAAATGCTAAGGTTCATCGGAGTTCAAGAGATCAACAAGCCCACAATTCAAGTTGGAAATAAGGGGTAGAATGTTGGATCATTCCAATTAACTTAAGGAGAAAGTTAACTTATTAAAGAGGAGTTTAGTAAGTTAAGGAAAAAAGAAAACATATCGAGCTTAGGAATGTTTCCATATTATTATTAGGTTAAGATGTAGCTTCACCTATATAAGGAGTTTCAGAGATGTTGCATCCCTCAAGAGAAACACATTGATTTAGTTTTGAGAGAGTTTCTAAATCTAATAAGAAGTGCTAGTTCTTATATTTGTGTGTTCTTTCAACTTTAGATGAAATGAAAACATTTCAAAACTTACATATGTGTTCAAGTGGAGGATATAATGATTTTCAAAATTTTGTATATCCTTTTGATTTACAAAACGCATCCTTTCAAGGGAGGATTGATTTTGATGTTCTCCTACAGTACATGATGGTGTGAGCAACCCCTCAAAGCATTCTTCTTTCATACCTGGTTTACATGAATGTTTGTCATCTTTTGAAGTTTGTAATACAGCTACAACCATGGAAGCGCAAAGGGATCAGATATGCCCAATCCCCTATAAATTAATTGAGGATCATTTAAAAAAGTTATAACCTTAAGGTTGTATTAATTAAAAAAAATCTCATCCTATGTGATAGTTCTCTATATTTTCTAAATTCTGTTTAGAAGAATTCTATAGCACCTTATATAAAGCATAATTTTAAGATAAGATCCGTTGAATTCATATAAGACATATCAGATTAAATAACATATCAAACTAAATCTCCTATATATTCTTTTCTTAAGTAAAACTAATATGTCATGGATTTTACCCACTTTTAACCATGATTTATATATGTTTTTGGAAACAAAAGGATACTTCTAGTGTATTTTTAGAGCTTTTACAGGTTCAGGTACTCATTGGTGTAAACTAGCCATTATGGAGCTAAAATGGAGACTTTATTAAGATATGAGCAAAACAATGTTAAAGATATCGACCGACGTACGTTTAGAACAGTCGACCAATATAGGATTATCCATATCGCTCGATTGACGACATTCACCATCGATCGATATAGAAGTCCTCCGAGCGATTAAATAAAGATTAGAAGCCCTAATTAGTTCACAAGAGTTTTAATAATTACACTTTAAGTCTCTGGCCGCCTGTTAGGCTATATTAAGAGGGTTTTGTACTAGTTTATACAGACTTCTCTAGAGAGATCTTTTTAGACCTAATTTGGGGAGAAGCATCTAGCTATACTTTGAGAAGAGCTTAGGAGTAGAGAGAGAGAGATCTGAACTACAAATCCAGAGAAGATCTTGAACTCCCTTGCTTTACTTATTTCTTTACTGTTTCTTTTGCTATTATTTCTTAAAAAGCATTATTCAAACCATTATGACTTTGTCTTTCGTGAATATGTTTGAGTAGTCTCTCTTGTTAGATTTAGGTTTCTCATTAAGGTTGACTCATGCATTGAAAATGAACCATTACTAAGGTGTTTAAAATATAGTTCTTCATCTAGTCATCATAAATGCTAATTTTAAGGATTGATCACCCTTATCTTTGATTTTAGGATCAATATGGACAAGTGAAAACTTGGCAATTACCTGAAATCTAAGTTAATTTAGTGAAGACTAAAGAACCGTTTCAAACTTGTTACTAGAGCTCGCTGGAAGCAATATTGTTCGACGAGATAATCATCTTGTCGACCGATATAGCAAAGAGTCATCGATCGATATTTCTATTGAACATCGATCAATACTTTCTTACGGTCATCGAACGATAGTTGTTGACCCGAGGCCAGTAGAAGTTAATTCATTAGATCAAAACCTTAAAAGTTTGAATCCAGAACTATGAACAATAAAAACCCTTTATAACTTGCATGTTTGTCATACCTGAGAAAATACCTAAGTCTAACTACTTTCTTTCCTCTTAACAAATCAATCAATCAATCGAGCAATTACTTGCTCATCTTTTAAGTTACTGTTTAAAACTTGCTGTCTACCTTTATTTCAAAGACTAAATAATCTGTTGTGTAGTCCTAGAGTCTCTGTGGATTCGATCCCTAAGTACTACAATTGGACCTCTATTGATGAGAGTAATTCACTCCCTAGGATAACTTGAGTGATATCAAAAACCTACAAATTACCTAATGTGATTAAGATATATAGAACTATTAATAATTTTAAACAATAAAGATTTGTTAACAATCTATATACTTTATATCATTTTTGTTTAATTTTTATTATTAAAATAAATTATACAACTACACTAATCATATAATAAAATTTTAGATTTTTTTATATATGTTGTATTTTGAAATTTTCAAAACGAGTATAAATTACTAAAACTGTTAAAAATCTCACATAAACTTTTGTGATCAAGGTCTAACTTTTTCTATAATAAGTTACAATGATTATAAAATCATAGGAATAAATAATTTTATGTTAATAGGTGTTTATGTTAATATATAATTATATATCTCATATCGTATGAATAAATAATTTTATTTTAAACATAATTATAATTACATTTTAACTGATTTTTTATGAAATTATTATTTTATTAAAAAGTAATTTTTAAAAATATAAATTTTTGATATTATTAGACAAATAAATAAATTATATTAAATTAGTTTTAAAACTTTATATATTCTAAATGCAAATATTCTACCAACTGTTTTTTTAAGAAAGCATTAGAAAACTTGATAATGCTCAACCAAGTAAGTCATGTGACACTCCGTTTATTTTTCATCACTTGAATACTGAAAAGTGAAAAGATATGTGAACCAGACCATTAAATTCTAAGTTTTGATCTACAGTATTAATTACAATTGTTTCTCTTTCTACTAATAGATAATTATATAAAAAATTCAAAAATCCAAATACATATAAAAACAACCATAGGTAAATTTTAAATTTGTGAATATTAAAATTTTATATTTTAATTACATACACTCATCTTACACAAGGCGTATGTATGATCCTAGTGAGTATATTAATGGGTTTGACTGGTATTATTAGCCTAAGTTAGAGTAAAACAAAATGGTGAAAAAGGTGAAAATGGAAATGGTAGGAAAGAGTGGAAAAATAAATAAATAACATTACTCTAGTAAAATGTAAAAGATCTATCTCTATGTTTTTCTCCATTTAAACAGGAGATATAGTAAAAGTAAAAAAAAATATATTCCATTTGATTGGAAAGTTTTTAGTGGGATTTAGAGTTAATTTAAAATTAGAGTGATATGTTACTCATTGTTTGCTAGAAAAATCTCGATATATATATATTTGTATCTTGTCAACAAATTTTTTTAAAAAATCACATTAAAGCTTTGGATTCATGATGCTTTGTGTTGGTCAAACACACAATTTAATGTAAAATATATGAAAAAAATAACATTTTGATTTTTTTCTGTTGGCGAATAAGAATTTATTTTGGAAAACATTCTTACTCAATTTTCCTACAATACATAGTCATTCACACATATTTTTGTTTATCTAATATTTTTTTCTGAAAGTTCTAAATACTATCTTTATAATTTTTATTTTTATTAAGAAAACTATATGCCGCAAAATAAAGTTAAGAAAAAAAACAAATTATCCTCCCATTAGTGGAGAAGAAAAAAAAAAGAGGGAAGGAAACCAATAATTTTGGAGGCTCTATTTTAGGTTAATTATTTTGGTTAGTGATTAATATTAGGTGATGGAGGCAAAGTTTAAAACGGCGAAGGAGGGCATTTGACACAAGTTCCAGAGAATGAGGACACGCCGTCGTAACTACACGACAGCAACTAAGCCATCATCCTCGTTACCCGAAGCTCTCACAGTGAAGCCCATAGTTCCAGTGTCCGGTACAAAAAGAATCCAATCATGCAATGCAAAATATAAAAGATCAAAGAAGAAGAAGAGTATAGCAACAGGACTGTGGGATCTACATATTCCCACAGAGATCCTGGAGGTGATACTGTCCAGTGGCGGATCTAGAAAATATATGCATTAGGGCAGAAATAAAAAATTACTAGATAAAATATAAAAAATATTGTCATAAAAACGTACAAATCCTTACAATGAAACGTACAAATCCTTACAAATGTATCCTACACTCTCTCATGGATTGAAATCGTTTCACCACTGTTTACAAACTCAAACAACTCCTTTTCAATATAACATACTAAACAATCACTTAGAAATTTGTCTCCAATTCGGTTGCGTGTAGTTGTCTTCACTAATTTCATTGCAGAAAAGCACCTTTCAACACTTGCAGTAGCAACATGCAATGTTAAAACCAACTTCAAGAGCCTATAAATTAAAGGATGTACAAGGTGATTTTTTGTTTCCACCATCAGACGAGAAAGATCTCCAAGATTCTTCAAATTCTTAAACCGTTCATCGTTTCTTATATTGTCAATGTAGATTCCAAGTTGGTGTTCCATAGATAGACGCTCTCCAAAACTAAAATCCTCTGGATAGAACTTAACCAATCTCAACAGCTTTGACTTATCAAACTCACGGAAAGAATTGACGGGACTTAAAGAAGCCATACAAATAAGCAAATCAGTGTTTACCTCAGTAAATCGATCATTAAGCTCTTGAAGCTGCAAATCCATAACAGTGTAGAAACAATTAACCTTGTAATGATGCAAATTGGTTACACCTGTTTTTTTCCTTGGCCTCCTTAAATCCACAAATTCTTCATCCATCACAAGCATATTAACATTATTCTTTTCGCAGAATAATGAAACTTTACCCATTAGCAAATCCCATCCATCTTCTCGAAAATTTTGCAACTCTCGTTTAGTTGAATCTACAAGGGACATGGCATTTGAAATATCTTGATTCTTCATTTGCAAAGCCATTGACAGATTCTCAGTTACTCCCAAAATAAACAGCATCAACAATCGAATGTGTGAAAATACTTAAGAAGTCCATATGCTTGACATCTTTTTGAGTCATCAGCTCCTTCATCTTGAACAATTTCAAGGATTTCAATGACTGAAGAAAACAACTCAACCAGACGCAGAAAAATTTTATAGTGAGAACCCCAACGAGTATTTCCAAGCCTTGGAAGAGAAATCTCTTGATTTTGTCCCGTTCCAGTGTTAATGTCACCACTGTCAATCCCTTCCTCCACCCTCTTTCGATTCATATCAAGAAGCGTATCTTTTCTCTTGCAAGAAGCCATAACCACATTCAGCAAAGTCGAAACCATGTTAAAAAAATTACTAACTTCAACGCTCTTTTTCGCAACTGCCACCACAACTAGCTGAAGTTGATGAGCAAAACAATGTACATAATAGGCTGAACTATTTTCTCTAGCAACCAATGCTCTCAGCCCATTAAACTGACCCTTCATATTGCTTACTCCATCATAACCTTGTCCTCTCAACTGTTTCAGGCTCAAACCATGTTTTGTAAACAAGTCATCAACTGCAGATTTCAGAGATAAAGAAGACATTTCTTTTACATGAATAACTCCCATAAATTTTTCTTTTACTAATCCACTTTAATCAACAAACCGGAAGACAACAGCCATTTGCTCTTTGTTAGAAACATCTGCAGACTCATCAACCATCAAACCGAACACTCCATGATCAATTTCTTCCATGATAGATTTCAGTACTTCTTTTGCAAAAGAATGTACAATATCTTTCTGAATCACTTGAGAAACCATCTGATTAGTTTTTGGAGCGTTCTCCAAAATAACCTTACTTACAAGGTCATTTTGTTCTCCAGTATACTTCAAGAGCTCTACAAAGTTTCATTTATTAGCAGAATCTTTTCTTTCATCATGACCGCGAAAAGGTAATTCCTTGTCGTAACAAATACCTAGAAACATCAACTGAAGCATTTAACCGGATGCGATATTCATTTTTCACCACATCGCCTTGCTTATAAAAAGCATGCACAATTGACTGACTCTGATTCCTCAAATCATCACATCTCTGAACAGCAATATTATGAAAGCTATTAATTCCACCTACATGCTCAGATAAAGCCTCGGGTTTTTTCCAACAAGAAAAACCTTCAGTCACAAAAGCATAATTTCCACCTTGTTTTGGTATGTCATCTCTGAACAAATAGCAACACAACAAGAATGCTTTATCTTTGGAGACGCTGTACTCTAACCAATTACCATACTTCTCAAACCAAGCTGGATTAAACCGCCTCATTGTTGTTCCAAACTTTTTCTTTTAAAAAACATGACCATAAGGTTGACATGGATCTCTAGTTAAATATTTACGCCTTACTTCGTCTCTTTGATTCGAAAGATACTGCGATATTTTTTTTCTTTCAGCTGGATCCCGTGGCAAAGCATCCAAATCATCAAAGTTATCAAATTTATCCAAATCTCTTTTAGAACCAGAGACACTTATTTTGTTATAATATTACTCCATTTATCTGCAAATCAATAAAAAATAGTAATAAATTAATATAAAGTCAACTCCATTAAACCTTTTAACATGTTACTACACTAAACAGAATTCATTATATTATCAATAAATTTTCACGTTATGCTCAACACCAAATATAATAATTTTGGCTGCGTATAAAATTATTCTACATTAACATCAGTACATCAAAAATCTCAGCCTTACTATAATACTCAAAGGTCACGTGTATCTTAAAGCATATCATCAACAATTCTATAACAGAAAGCAATAAAAAGAGAATCAAACAAACATTTAAAATAGATATAATCATATAAGCTAATTAAATAAATAAAAAAGAAATTTACTTGGATAGGAGACTTTGTGCACTTCGTAATTGTACATGATTCTAGCCGGTGGAAAAAAATCGCAGGGAAAGAAGAAATTGAGAAAGACGACGACAAGTACACGTATGCCTTTCCAAAGGCAAAACCCTATTTTCTATTTTTTTATGAGTAAAAACTAGTTTTATTTAAACTGGATTAGATTTGCTAAATAAAGTAAAGCCCAATTCACTAAAATATGAAATTGTAATTGTAGATATAAAAACAATAACAACTTGGGCTTTTGTTTATATTTACCTGAATTAGAATATTTTTAATTATGGTAATTATTTAGAGTAGAGGGGGCAAAAAATAATATACAACAGGGGCATAATTTCAATTTGTTATAAAGCTAAACTAACTTTGATATTTCCATGGTAGGCAAGTGCCCCCTAACAGTCAACGTACCTCCGCCTCTGATACTGTCCCGCCTCGGATTAAAAGACAACATACATGCTTCCGCTGTCTGCAAGACATGGTGTGAATCAGCTGTTTCTGATATAAGATTGGAATCACACCAACTTATGATCACTTGATGATCAGTAGATTCCAAGCTTCACTTGCGGAAGGTGGGACGATGTTAGAGATGGATGATGAATAGATGATTGACTCTCTCAATCAGTGGGTCGATTGACTCTCTCAATCAGTGAACCAAGTGTGTTTGAATCACACAAACAAGCTGGAGTTCATGAAATCAATAGAACAACAAAGAATCTCTCTTTGAATCCTAAATATCGATATTTTACGCAAAGAACACTCTTTGATAAAAAACTGAATAACTTTTATAAATTCTTAGATGATTGAAAGGTGATTTCTACAATGGCCAAGAGTGAGCTTATATAGGTCGTGGCCTTTGCTCAGAATTAAAAAAAATAAAGGAAAGAAAATCAAGCATTTAAAAACTAGCCGTTGGAGCCTTTTTTGGGATTTGTGCTCCAAGTGAAGAATCTGAGTTTCCTTGAACCTGCTCGGTTTTAATGGATAAGAGAGCTGTCTTGGGACCTTCTTGAATGCTTGATAGGTGCTGATCTCGTCCATAAGTTGACAGAAAAAGAGCTGTTGGAGTTTTAATGGCTGAGACTCCAAATAAGGCAAGGTGGGGTAAATGTGGATCCTCCTGANTGTCTTGGGACCTTCTTGAATGCTTGATAGGTGCTGATCTCGTCCATAAGTTGACAGAAAAAGAGCTGTTGGAGTTTTAATGGCTGAGACTCCAAATAAGGCAAGGTGGGGTAAATGTGGATCCTCCTGATCCTATGTGGGCTGGTGCATGGTAGGAAGTGATGTAACTCCTCTGGCTCGTGGATAAGGTCTTCTGGATAGTCTAGAGTATCTCCTGGCTTCCATAGAAAGGTTTGGGTCGGACCAAACTGAATTAGGTTAAGTTTCTCTTCAATTGATGTCGGTTTGGAAATTTGGTGCAAACCGGTCTTCTCCTCTGGTCTGATTGAGATCCTCCTGATCCCGTGGGTGCTGGTGCTTCTGAAGATGTTGTGGAGTTTCTCTGAAGGATGTAGAAGCTCTTCTGTTCGTTTCTCTTCAGATTGGGTTAAGGCAAAACCCGGATCTTCCAAATAAGGCAAGTGTAAGACTGGTTTGGCCGGTTTGGGGAAATTGATCATATCTTCTGGTTTACTCATCCCCTTCTCATTATCTTGGGCTTCCTGGATAGATAGTAAACTCCTCTTGACTCCTATGATCTGCTTTGGCTCGGGTCGTTCCTTCTTTTGGATTGAAACTCTTTCTGAAGTCGGAAGATGCTCGCAGATGAATGGGTTGGAAAACCTCTGTCTTGTAAAATTCATAACGCCTTCATCTGTGGGTCTTTTCTCAAAATTCAAGTTGGGACTGACTTCTTATTGAGTGTAGAATCCATGAAAATTGGTTTCATGATTTAAACCCTCCTGACTTAAGAGATATCGCATTTTTAGTGAACATATGTTCTGCTTGACGCCTTGGTTGGGTGAGTGGGGTGTTGGATGGACCTCCGGTTCAGCTACTGGTTTGATGGGCGCATCAGTTTCTGTCCGTAAGGTCCCGTGTCGCCCATGGCTTCTTCCTCCAATAGATGACTGGAATCTTAATGGCAATCCTTACCTCCTTGATCCACTAAACCCTCATCATCCGTCTCAAAAATATAAGCTCACTTTCCCATACAGGAGGTTTAAACCTGATGGAAAATCTTATTCTAAGGATGGTTGGGTGCTTGCGAAATTATCAACTCGCATGGATTCATTACTTTTTAACCCCTTTACCAACAAGTTATTCTGCTTACCCAACGGGTCACTCTATCATTCAAGGTCTCGCCTAGCTTTCTCAGCTGCTCCTACTTCCACTAGCTGTGTCGTAATCTCCTATGCTCGAGTTGTAGAAGATTTTCTCATCGAAACTTGGCGGCCTGGTGAAGACACATGGACCACCCATCGCTTTGACAACTCTTTTCGTGGGTGGGACAAATGTGTCTTCTCCAATGGTGTGTTCTACTTTCTCAGTACTTGCGGCTGCCTTGGTGTTTTTGATCCGTGTGAAGCAACATGTAAGCTTCTTCCAGTGAAACCTTACTTTTCCACGAGGAGCTGGATTCTACAGTGTTCATCATGAAGCATGAAGGAGACATCTTTGTTTTGTGTTCACGCCTCAACAGCAACAACCATATGGTGTTTAAACTAAACATGAAACTCAATGTATGCGAAGAGAAAGAGATCTTGGAGGCTTGACAGTATTTGCAAGTTTCCCTGGCTCTTTTATAAGAGCTTGTATCTCGGCAGAGGATATGAACAAAATATATTCGTTTACTGATCTTCATTTGAGACAATTCCTCTCATACCCCTAAATCTCATTCTCTAATCTCTCTAGGATACATTTCTTCTTTTAATTTTATATGTCAAACGAAAAAACATACAATTAAACTTAAAACGTGAATATTTTTTATTTGATTCATAGAATTTGATAAAAATATTTGAAAAATCAAAAAAAAAAAACATTTTTTTGATTTTTTCACGAAAATCATCAAAATATGATTAAAAACGATTTTCAAATATATTTTTTCGAATTTGAAAACTATAGAATTTAAATATTTTCCCATGGGTTCACTCATCCATAGGAGGGTTTTTTGTTTAGTTTTGAACACCGAAGAGGATTTAATTTAGGGGTTTAGGTTTTGATAAAAAAAAGAATTATGAAATAGAGGTATAAGAGATCACGCCAGCCTATAAGAGATCAGCTCTAAAAAAAAGAGGAGCACAAGAGAAGTTGACTCTCTTCATTTGCCTTATGGCTCTCGTCGCCCTCCAATAACCAATTTGTCTTGCCGCGTCGCTTGGATAGAGCCACCTCAGAACAACAACTTGGATTTGCTTAGTCAAAAAAAATAAAACTACGTGGATTTGTTGTGATGTCGTCATCCCTTTTACTTTTTTTTTAATTACTTTTTCACAATTTTTTTATGTGTTTCCAAAGTTTTATTTTGAATTAGTTCCATGTCAGTGTTTTAACATGGTATCTCTGTGGACTGAACAAGTTACTATTAATCTGCAATGTAATATGCCTACTCTTTTAAGAATTACACGCAAGGGTTTCAATAAATTTATAGGACAATGTATATAAGGGTCAAATGCATGTACATGTTGAACTTTCACACCACATTGTATATAGGAATCAAATGTGTGTACTCCATTTAAGAGAATCAGTTCACACCTCACATACATGCAAGGTTGCTTCACACCGCGAGCCGCCCACCAAACCACTAAAGCACATGTGGGCCCGGGTATGAACAATAGTTTTGTGATGACGGGACAGCCAGCAACGTCCAACTGAATTCGATGCCTGTACTGTAGAGGAACGGGTCATTTGGACGTGGATTGGTCTGTTTGACATCTCTATAAGAAATAAGAAGCTACAGTCTCCAACTCTCATTCTTTTGTTAAAAGATAATGGAACAATGTAGCTCATGTTATATCAGAACCTTTAAACGGAGTTTTCTTTGATGCTTGTATTTCTCCACCAACATGGTTAACTCCAAATAGGCCTGGGCATTTTACCCGGATCCAAAGACCCGACCCGAAACCGACCCGAAAAAACCGGGTCCGGGTAGGAACCGACCCGAGCAAATTACCCTATCGGGTCTTGTTGTGGAGGACACGCGGGTCTTGGACCCGACCCAGACCGAACCCGAAATCCGATGGGTACCCAAATTAATAGTGTAAATTAAATAAAATGCATTGAGGGGGAGTCGAAGACGGGTTGTTTCTATAGAGAGTAAGGGGGTCAACCACTAGGAGACAACGAATTGTTGTTGTATCTCGCATAGTTTAATATATATACACATTTTAATATAGTAAAAACACAAATTTTGAATAAAATTTTGAATATTTTCGGATATATAAGTATTTTCAGATTTTTTTTTTATATATTTAGGTATTTTTTAGGTCGAACCCGAACCGAACCCGACCCGAAACCGAACCGANTAATATAGTAAAAACACAAATTTTGAATAAAATTTTGAATATTTTCGGATATATAAGTATTTTCAGATTTTTTTTTTATATATTTAGGTATTTTTTAGGTCGAACCCGAACCGAACCCGACCCGAAACCGAACCGAATCCGAACCGATAAATTCTAATTACCCGAATGGGTCCAACTATCTAAGACCCGACCCGACCCGGACCCGGTACGACCCGAACTGAACCGAAACCGAAAATTTGAAATTACCCTATCGGGTCCTAAACTCCTAGACCCGAAAGACCCGGACCCGAAAGGACCCGACCCGAACCCGACCCGACTACCCGAATGCCCAGGCCTAACTCCAAATTTGTATTCAGATAATTAACTGCTTTCATACAAGTTACACAATGACAGTCTATTAGTTTGTCTTATCTAACATAATTCAAATCTAACTACAGACGCTAACCAGACAATGAAGAATTCATTAACTCATATACCACCACCAGTTTTCTTTCTCGTGACCGCATTAATGTAAATTCACCAACAGAAAACGCATAGACAAATGGATGTTAGATATAAAGAAGTGGAAGGAACATAACAAATGGTGTGTTTTTTTTTTGGTGCGAGAAGGACCCATAAAAAAAATAAGAGCAAATGAATAGACAAAAATCGAGGACAGGTCGAAGCCAGGCATGTGCATATGCAACACAAATCCTCACACGTTACAGGTAGCCAGAAAGCACACAACTACTGATATTTATCTGTCTATCTGCACATGCCTCGATTTCGACCCTAACAGCATCTTTTTCTCCCCTAGCTGGTTATATCTTACTCACCAGCCTTTTCACCCTTCGCCTCTGGTTCAGTTTCCGGTTTAGTATCAGGTTTCATTTCAGATTTGAGGTTTGGTTTGGTTTCCAGTTCAGCATTTGGGTTTGACTGGGGTTCGAGTTCAGCTTTGGGGGTCGGTTTGGGCTCCTCATGTTCAGCCTCAGATTTTGGTTCAGATTTGGGAGATTCAGTCTTATCATGATGGAACTTAACAACAATACATGTGATGTTGTCCGCGCTGCCACGAGTGAAGGCTGTGTCTGTTAGCTTGCGGGCAGCTGCCACAGGCTCCTCTTCGCTCTGAGCAAGGGATACTGCATCCTGAATCCGACGAACAAAAAAAATAGAAATATTACATCCTGAACAATCCGGAAACAGGTACAGGGGGAAGAACTGATCTGAGTCATACCTCATTTGTTACCACATCCCATAAACCGTCACTTGCAAGCACAAGAAACTCAGCCTCATTATCTATCTCTAGATCCTGCAAAAATAGGCAGAGTGTGTTCATAGGATACTATGTACTAGGATGCTCAAGTTAGAAGCGCTTACTTGTATCTCGGGTTCAGCGACAACAAATTGCTTCAGCATTCTGTTTCCAAAGGCCCGGGACATTGCCAAGACTCCACCTACCCTCCATGTTCCTGACAAGGTAAATCCAAATGATATTACGTTAAACCTAGGCCGACAAAGAGATCCAGAGGAGGATAAGTAAAGGCCATGCTCTTAAAAATATTGATTGTTTAAAGCGTGAATAACTAACTTTACAGATAGAATGCCTCCATAAGACGGTTTGTGGGTCAGTTTTCCTTAGAAACTTAAAATACTATTAGACCTTATAGCAGTCTAGGCAAACCAACAATCAATGACACTGTATTATCAAAATTCTTGAAGAAAATATCGAGCATCTTGAGTAGCGAGTCGTTTACCTCTAAGTCGTGAGATGATTCTCTACAATCTCGTTATGTAATGTTCAGAAACAAGTAACCAATTGGGGGCCCTCAAGAGAGGGACGATTTCTTATATATCAAGTTACCTGCCCACATGATAACACCACCAGCGCTTTCAATTCGCTTTCTTTCATCGCTTCTATTAGGCTTATGGTCATCTGATAGCGCAATCGCTGCAGAACATAAAACACTGAGTTTAAAGAAGGCGGCCTTACGAATAGAAAACAACAAAAACTTGTAAACAATCTTATTAGGAATCTATTTATTTAGTGACGGTTTACGTTCTCCAAGAAATTGCATGATTCCATTTCATGGACTCATATTTTGCAAGAAGCTTTTAGATCACAACGAAATACCGACCTTTCCCAGCTTTAGAAACTATTGTCCTAGAGTCTCCAACATTTGCAACATACAAATGGTTCCCCACCAACACAGCAGCAGATGCTGTGGAGCCATCATCTCTGTAAGTATCCTTTTCCGATTCAAGGAATGCTTCATCTGTTTGTTTATACGTTTCACCTACAAAATTCGTCAAGTTAGAAGGTGAACCGATGACTTGCAACACATGCAGAATGAGCTCTTATGAGATGTAACAAAAAAAGAATATAATGGCTAGAGATATAGAGGGCACTTAGTGCCAGCCTGGTGTCTGTCAAAAATTGTGGATGCATCATAAGATTGCTAAAGAGGTGTTTCTTCAGGTACTCAGCAGCACGTGAACCACCATGACCTGTGATGATTAAGGTTTCAGAAATTAGAACAAGACAACTAAACATCAAATCAACAACATATGATTCTGCATTTTAGTATAATATGCACACATATCGAGAGTTCAACTGGTCACTGCAAACTTTAATTTCCTAAACAGTCTACTAGAAATCCCAGAAGCAGCAGTCAGCACGTAGAAATACAGATTCTAACTAAAGCAATTCGAGATCCTTCTTAAGAAAGTAGGCAACGCTAACCATTCCTTTTCATAGACCAGAAGAAAAGAAAAGGCACAAAATATAGAAGCTAACCATCAAATATGCCAAACATGCAAACTGTTTGGCCTTCGATCTTGGAAGCTTTGACATCATAAAAGTCTTCCATCGTAGACCTTTTTCCCTCTGAAACTACAGTACCCACAGCTCAAGCTCCCATCATCACTGTCATTACACATAGACCAATTTAAAAACCAAAAGTGATAGTATCATATGGGTCCAAAACCACAGACGATTACAGAATTGCCTACACAACAATATTAAGCTTCAACGTAATCAGTTTCTTCATTACATGTCATAACTCAATAGCCGTATATATATACTCTCTAGGTATCTGCTACACTCACTAAACCATAGTATGAAAGAATCTAACAAGATTTACTCACTTTTTCCACCCACCACCAATGTATCCACCATCATCAACTTTATGAGGAGGCATATCAACCATGGAAATTCGAGAAGATTCGACACTCATCTTTTCTGCACTGATTCCAAATCCGAGATTAATACGCCTTCCTTGAGAAAACACCCCAATATGATGAGCAGCCTGAACAATGACACTCCTTATGAGACTGCTGCATACCATCACCAGGCAGGTCTCACCTTAACCAAAAAATCAGTTTCTCTGTGTACAGAAAAAAAAACAAAAACAAAGATTTGATAAAAGATTGGATATGAGCTACTTCAAACAATATAGAACACGATCATCACAGATCCTTACGATAAGATTACCCTAAACCCTATCTAAGATCTCAGATCCTCAAAACAAGAGTCCAGTTCATCACACAAGGAACAATGATACAAATAAACTCAAGAGGTAAGTAAAAAAAATCAAATCAAGGATCTGTTGCAATAATCGAATCGGATTTGGGGAAAACACACTCACCAGGGATCCGAATCTGAGAGTGAAGAAGGAGAATTTTGCTACAGGAATCAGCTTTTTGAAGCTTCCATTGGAATCTGAGAGAATCCAAGAGAGACGGAGATGGTACTAGTGAGATGAGAGGATGGATGACACCCAACAGCCACAGTGACGTGGCACTATTATTCATGAATTGAGTTTTTTTAAGGCATTGGATTACCACATGGCACACTTTACTAACACAACTAATCAACTTTTATTTCTAACAAATCATCTTTTTCATTGTGATTGTAATTAACTAGTTATTTAAAATTAAATAACATTTAAAACTTTATAATGCATATTTTAGTGATAATTTGATTTATAAATTATTACCATATTTTAAGAAGTTTACCAAAAATGTAATGTATCAATTATTGTCATATTTTATAAGTTTACCAAAAATATATATCAACAATAGATGTAATTATCTACGTCATATTTAACTATAAGTCATGTCATCAAATTTAGTAGTTATATTACTATTTTTTATAAAAAAAAAGTAATCGTAGAAAAAAACATGTGGCAAATCCTTTCGCAAATAATATATAGATGATTTTTACATGTGCTTATCTCTACCATCGATTCATCTCTATTTGAGAAAACATGTCATGCAATTTAAAACAAACATTAAAAAGCAAGTGAAGAATCAGCCACTGGAAATATCTGACCCAAAATCCACCGTTTATAAATACCTATTGAGTTCAAAATTTTTCTATCTAAAAAACTGAAACTGAAAAGAGACGATTTGAACAGGCCTAGATTAAAAAAAAATCGATCTAAACAGAGATCCAAATTCAAAAAGAACCGATATGAATATATCCGACCTGATAAGAACCACTTCATACTCGATTTAAGAACATGAATATCCTAAAATATAATTGCATGGGTTTTATTTTCTATTTTAGATTTAGTTGAAATATGTTTTTGTTAGCAATCTTCATTATTATTTTTATAATATTTTTCAAGTAATATGAAAGTTTAAATGTCAAATCGAGAGTGTAAATTTAATTTCGGTTATTAGTAGTTTAATATTGGTTATTTTAAAAATATATTTAAATATGATGAATTTTAGCAAAAGATTAAAGGAATTTGGGTACTTCGGATTTTCATATCTTAAATACTCAAACCCGATTTTGATTCGTTATGGACCCAAAAGTTAACTGTATTTTACAGGCATTTAATTATAGCCCAAATTGACTCGGATACGAGAGGAATAATCTAAACCAAAAATTTAAGTACCTATTAAGTCCAAATGTCTAGAACCCGAAAAAAACCGACTCAGAAATGACCCAAAAATTCGAACGTCCATTCTTAACCCCAACCATCACATCTAAGCCTGGGCAAAAAAAAAACACGACCCAAACTAGAACAGAACCAAAATACTTGAAATCAGAATTAGATATAAACCTTCAAATATCTGAATGGCTCATATGTATCTATATCCAAATAACCAAACAAAATTCGAATCGGAAATCGAATGAATACATAAATATATTAAATTATTAATTAAATATATACATATACTATGACTAGATATATATGTATAATCTTAAAAAGCTATTTAAAGTATCAATAAAGTCAAAGAAAACTAAATTATTATAAAATATTTGGATAATCCGAAAGTATCTGTAAGTATCTAAATATTTTTATCTGAAATATCCGAGATTTTTATCCGAATCATCCTACTTTACCCAACATACCCGATATTTAACCAGAATTATCCAAATTAACCAAATGGGAATCAAATAAAAACCGTATTTTCCCATGTATATTTTGGTTCTTAGTTTTACTATCTTAACAAACCCGAACCCAAAATTGTCGAACCAAACCCGAACAAAAATAGGTCAGATAGTAATTAGATCCTCTATCTCCTCCACGAACTAAATGATACCTGTAATACCCAAGCCAATTCGGCCGATACCGAAATTCCCAGGTCTACCCACATGTGTGGGAAATAGACTTAATCATATATCCAACTGGGCTGTAAGAAACCCAACTTAATCATATTTAATGTTCAAAAAACACTTAAGCCTGCTTATAATTTTTTTCTTTTTCAACAAAAAAAACATAAAAAACATTTTTCGACACCAGTCCTTATATATATCATAAGATTTGACACAAAGTCCATAAACTGTGCCACCCTACTTCTCCAATAGGAGTTTGGATTTCTAGTCCTAGAGAATAAAAAACTATGCAAATTAATAGAAAAAAATGTTTACAAAAGATCAGCAGTATGACAAGAAGTACCGTAAAGCGTGAATCCCATAGGCAGCTCATATGATAAAGTCAAATGTAAATCCTCATAATGAAAGTAGAATTGTCGGCTATAAAGTCATATGTAATATTTCTTATAATTTGTAATAGCATCATTATTCAGTGTTAAAATATATCACAAGATTCACAACCATATGTTTCTTAGCGTTTTAGAGGTTTAATGCTTTGAGAGAAGAGAAGACTTCCTCCTCTTATACCCTCTTTGATACAGAAAAATGGAGGGTGTCAATAAAGCGGCATCGACAAAATCCACATCATCAAATAGAGAAGCTCAAATGAGTACATAGAGTGGAATGTTGTTGTGTCACGCCCGCCTCTCACTTAACCGAGATGACATTAATTCACATTGCCTTCACCATAATAAACACTTAAAATGTCAAATGCAATTCTTATTTCAAAGGATCGAATCCAAAAGTCTTACAAACCCATACTAAAACGAATATGAAACACAAAAGTACCAAAGTCCTATAATAAAATAACTTAAAGAAAACCTAATATCCAGCACCACACTAAGATGGCTACTTCTGCAATTCATCGAACTCATCTAAAAAGAAAGGAGGGGTGAGTATATTGACAAATACTCAGTGAAAAAAGCTGTAGGAGCCCCGATGTCAATCACCAAAAATCATCCCACAACATATCATAAGTATCTAAATTAAACATCCAATAAAACAATAGCAAACAACAAGAAATGATGATAAACCATGATGGTAGAAACATCACGTTGTCTCTGCGCCTCTCATGTTTTCACATGAAAACTCACCAGGCGTTCTCCGTGAGTTCCACACCTTCCTCGATCACGCCACATCACGATGTCTTCACGGGATCTGTGCTACCACATTCTTAACTTCACACAGGCATGCCACATGCCCACTCCGGCGATGAATCATGCCACCTCACTTGGTCTCCATGTGATCCAGTCAAGAAACGATGCAACGCCCGAGATGTACATACCTCCACCACGTTGCACCAGCACACATAGGTCTCAAGCCTTTCTCTAACTCATATACACCACCCACACATGCCATAACCCGAATCAGTGCAATCATCGCATACACTCCTTAAACATCATTTAACCACATTTTATCAACCAATAAATAGATATATGTCTTTCAAGTATCAAGATATATATTATATGTAGAAGTATATATATATCTAGGAAAAAAATACATGTATGTATAGATAAATGTAGGTAAGAATGATCAACGTAGACACTTCTACCATATGAGATAATGATAGGAGGAGCTAGAGATCGCAACAAGCTCTCACCTTAGTCTAGATCTGTGAGATGAGAAAATAAATGGTGTAGATATGTGTTATGCGTCTCCTCACAAACTAGTTCTCCATATACAAGGGTTGGTTTTCATCCAAACCCTAGTTCAGATATCTATATTAAGAAAGAGATAAAAGAGAGAATTTGTGGTTTTCTTACCCTAACTAGTTATTGGATCTAGAAAAAAAAAGAATAAAAGACTCAAGGAAATGATAAGAAGGGATCAAAGCACATCGAGATCTCCTCTCCGGTGAGACTACACGGTAGCTGGCGGTTCTTCGGTGACTGCTCCTCTGTCAACAACTACTCTCTTTTCAGTTGGGCAGAGCTTCATTATGTTTTCTCATTGTAGAAATACCTAAGGGGGACCTACTTTTTATAGAAGACGAAAGGAAAAATCTTAGGATTTTCTCTACATGGACCAAATCATCACGGACCTTTTTGTGGGAACCGAAATTCACACCTGTCGATTTCCATAAAATAAAGAAAGTTAGAAAAACCCTAATTTTCCAGAGGAACCGGATCTCTGCGAAAGCCAACGACAACTAACCAAGAACGCGAGGAATATGAATAAATTAAAAGATATAAAAATAAAAACGAGATTGAAAGCAAGAAGGATTCGTATTCTGAATTCGCGTAAGAACGGTTACAACGAGAGTTGCCTTAGCTGCGTGAGCCGTCGGCGAAATTCCTAGTTCTAGCAATCTAAGACTAAATCCCTAGTTGAGACGCAGCTCGATAACAAAAACGGAAAATTGCCTAAATGCTAAGTTTGGTGGTGAAAACTCTGAAAACTCGTGTCTCAGCTTCTGCCCTATGCCTCCTCCTTATATACTCCTCCTTAGGCGGTTTTAGTCTTTCCATTTTGCTCGAAACCGAATATTTTGTGAACTTTCCATATCTGTCGATCCTTCCTTTTCTTCTGCGGAAATCTTCTATTTATCTTCAAACTTGCCTTTTATCTTCCGTCTGCGAGTAGACCGTCAAAACGTTATCGTATGTTTGGGTTTGATTTCGTTAACGTCTCGAGATGGGTTTTTATCGTGTTTTAGGACCTTTCGGGCCGTTTTACGATAAAAACCGTTTTACGACTTTAACAAGACCGTGTCCTGATCCGGTGCCGTTTTTTTACGATTCTCTCGATGTTTTTTATTAAAAACGCGTTTTTTATAATCTTAACGAAGAATCTCGGATAAATCATATAGTTTAGGCGATGTTCGGTGTTTTGATTAACCGTTACCGTTTTATACGATTTCTTTGAGTTCTTTTCGGGAAAACGGAGTTTTACGGTTTTTATCGTAAAACTCGAACGATAGGACGGATCGAGATGAAACGGGAGACATTTCGTCCGTGATTCAGAATATGATCTTGTCGAAGGACGTATCCCTTGAATCAAGGATGTGGCAGATCGAGGCTCGGGATGGTCGGCTCGACGTACGGCGAGCTAGTTCAGCTTGGCTAGGTCGCCATATGGCGAACTAGGCGAAAAGAAACAGTGAGGCAAAGTCAGCACCTCTTAGTTCGCCCAATGGCGATCTAGCCGGGACGGGACTAGTTCGCCCACCGGCGAACTAAGCCGAGCTGGCTTAGTTTGCACGTGG